GAAATCGGCGCTGCCCCATCGATTACCAGACGCCAGCGCACGCCAGTGCACCTTGAAGACGGAAGCTCGAGGGCACACGAAGCTCCCGCGATTTGCGACCGCAGCCGAGGACCACGAGATGCACGATGAGCAGGGCCACGACCAGCCACGTCTCCTCGAGCGCCGCGGCCACCTTCTGGCCCGCGTCCCCGCCCGAGGCGGAGAGGCAGGCCGCCGTCAGCAGGGCGGAGACGAGGAGGCCGAGCAGGGCGCAGCGGGCCACGGGTCCCGACACGAAGGACGCGACGCGGCACGCGCTCATGGTGGGCACCACCGCTGCGCGGCGCGCCGGGGGGGGGGAAGCAGAGCCGCGTGTTGCTAGAAGTGCCCCTGGCCCGAGGTGCCGACGGCAGGATCTCCAGGGAGGCCCCCACAGCCTCCAGAGCACAGTGCGACAGGACCATTGGGATTAGGTCGAGTGTGTCCTCCTACAGGCAGATGTTGAACGAGAGTCAAACAAACATGAACAATCAAAGCATGTTCAAAGAATGGTCGAAGAATCGTCCCCAGACTAGTTGTTTAACGATGTTTGGATTTTCCTCCTGTAGAGGGACACGCCCGACTTCAGTACAGTGCGACAGGACCATAAGGATGCGCGGCAACGATGAGCAGCCATCGGACGCCCGCACTGCAGCCGAAGGTGGAAGCGCACGGCCCATGGCTAGACAAGGGCCAGGATGGTCCGAGAGGCTAGAACGAAACCGTCCTTACCCTTGGAAAGCTGCTCATCTTTATGGTGCGGGTTGAGGAGGAGGAGGAGGAAGGAAGTAGGAGGAAGGAGGAGGAGGCGGAGGAGGAAGGGAGGAGGAGGAAGGAGGGGAGGAGGAGGAGGAGGAGGAGGAGGAGGGAGGAGGAGGAGGATGAGGAGGAGGAGAGAGCAGGAGGAGGAAGAGGAGGAGGAGGAGAAGGATGATGAAAGCGTCCTTACCCTTGGAAAGCTGCTCATCCTTTGCGGTGCGGGTGGACAGCACCTCTGGCGAGATCTAAAAGGCCCCCAAGGAGGCCGCCCCGGGCCAGGGGCACCTCTGGCAGAACCCCCCGGCAGCAGAGGGGGGGGGGGGGGCGGGCCTTCCAAGGCTGGGCACTGCCTATAAGACGGGGGACGGTAAGCGGCGGGGTGAACATGGGTGCCCCTCCTCCTCCTCCTCTCCTCTCCTCCTCCTCCTCCTCCTCCTCCTCCTCCTCCTCCCCCTCCTCCTCCTCCTCCGCCTTCTCCTCCTCCTCCGCCTCCTCCTCCTCCTTTTCGTGCACCTTCGGGGTCCCAGGGGGCCGCCCCGTGGGGGGCCCCTTTCCTGCAGCTCTCGATGCCCCCCTCCGCTTACCGCACCCCACGTCGCGAGAAGCCTTAACGCAAGATGCTCAGTCAGAGGAGCCGTTTGGGCCTCCTCCGAGGACGCAGACAGCTCGAGGCCCGAAGGCTTCTGAGAAGCCCCGCCGCCTTGGAGAAGGCCCTCCCCCCCTCTCTGGGGAAACCAAGAGGTAATTACCGAAACCGCTCCTCCCAGGACCTCTCCCGGGGAGCGTTCTGATCAGGATTTCGAGGCGAATCCAGCAGTGCCGACGAGGGCCTCCCAGGAGGCCGAAAAATGGGAAAACGGGGGAAAGGCTAGCGGTATCGGTACCGTGTCCTCCGCTGCCTCTGACTGTCCCCCCGGAGCGCGCCGCCGAATAGTGTGGCGTGACAAAGAAATGGAATATAAGCCGTTGGACGGGGGATGGGTTTCCCTCCGAACTTAAGACAGGATGCTTCGAGCCAGAGCTGCGGATCGAAAGGGGAAGTGCTTGGCTTCGTCGACATCTCCGGACGCTAGTGCAGAGAGCCAACATTTGTCGCGAAGTGGCCGTCATCTTCCGAGTGCAGTCGTCCTCCGTCATTCCCCGAAGAGAGGGGCAACTCTCATCAAGGACTGGTGGTACAGTAGAGTAAGGTAGAGCAGAGGAAGTGATGATGCAGGGCGACGACGGGGGCAGACTGTATGATGGAGGGCGAGCAGTAGGGCGCCAGTTTTGATGGATGACTGCACATCTGCATGCAAACGCACAGGCATGCGCACCCGTCGACACATGAACCTCCATCTGGTGCCATGTACTATACTCTAGATGTGTGGAGCTGTACTAAGGCGGACCCCCAAGAGCTGCCAGAACGACGACGGCCTATGCTTGGCAAACCTCACGGGGCCAAGGTAACTCCCCGGCCCAGCAGGCAAGAGGCGTGCCAAATTCCCCGGTGACAGGTTTCGAGTGTTCTAGCTCGCGCGCGCGTGGCGATCCCTAGGGTTCCCAGCATGAGAAGTACCCTGGGCGGTCCGCGGGCAAGTCCTGGGTGGTCGGTGTCACCCGGAATTCCCAGGGACGGTCTTCAGGGCCCCCAAACAGCGCCCCAGGAGCGTCCCGAGGGACCCGACGGGAGCTCCAGGAGGTCATTCGAGTCGGGATCCATGGGTTGCAGGTTCCACAATGGCTTCAATACACCCCCGGAAATGCTTCAAAGTAGCCTCAAAGAACCAAGAGGCCAAATTTGTCGTGGATGCTGCTCGGGTTTTTGAAAGATGCTGGCGCTGCCGCTCCCCAGCCTTCCGACCGCCCACGACGGTGAATTCAGCTCCAAGACTGCCACAGTTCGGGCCAAAGGGGCCCCCAGGACGGCCACGAGACAGCCCAAGCGGGCCCCAAGACGGCCCCAAAGAGGCCGCCCCGAGAAGCCTCCAAACCCCCCACGAGGGTCCGAGGAGGGGGAGAACCCGAACTGAAATGTCAAACCCTTTCCCGACTGCTGGCCCCCCAGACCGCCAGGAGGCCCCCAAGAGGACAAGAGACCTCCAAGAGGCCCCACGAAGCCCCTGAGATACCCCCAAGAGACTCCAAGAGACCCCGCCCCAGAATGCCTCCAAAAGTGCTCCCGCCAGGAAAGTGCCAGCGATGGTACATGACTATGTCCTCCAATACAGCCTCCAAGACGCCCTCAGGAGCGTCTTCGGAAAGCTCCCCAAGAGACCCCAGAGATCCCCAGGACCCCACGGCTGACCCCCAAGAACCGCTAGAGCGACGACAGCCTATGCTTGGCAAACCTAACGGGCAAGGGTACATAATGCGATCTGCGTGTGACCGCGCTTCACTGGACGCCTCACAAGGGATCCGGAGAGTGGCGACAGTTGCACGTTAGTATCACCCAGAGGGGTGTTGGTGATAACTACTTGGATCGACTCGGGACAGCACTTCGCTGAACCACCCAAGGACGCAGTAAAAGTGTTTGTCGCGGGACTCACGGGTGCGCAGGAGGTTGGCGGCAGCTGCGCGCTGCGCAGCGCCAAGCGAGGGTTCGGACAACTGCTCGGGGCTGCCTAGGGGCGGTGCAGGGGTGGATCCCCCAAGCCGTGGCCGTGGCGGAACCCGTACCCGCAGTCCGGCCTGGGAAGGGAGGGGGGCGGCAGACCCGAGGACAGGGGAACTCACCTGTACTTCCAGGGGGGGGCGGGGGTCTGGCTATCAGGACCAGAGGCTGCACTGGAATGGGTAAACCGACAACATCCCACCAACAAGAAAGTCATGCCGTGCAAGACAGCTCCCGAGCAGCACAGCGCATGGCGACAACACACAACCGGCGGCCTCGGTGGGCCAACGTGTTACAGGTCGCCAAAAATCATGCCCTTGGCTGACACACACACACACACACACAAGTGAGTCACGATCCGAATGATTGACTGCGCACTGCCAGCTGCAGCTCATGATCGACTCGTGCAGCAGATTGCTGTGCAACCTCTTGCCCACGAAGAGTAAAACGATGGCGGAGAGTAATCCGCCCCCGTGCCCCGCTGGCACCTGGAGACACAGAAGCATGCCAAGGCGGGGCACTTTGGATCCTGACAAGGCGCCGCCCTCCCTCTGCCTGCGGACCGCTGCATGCCTCGCCCCTCCCTGTCCGCGGCCACCTCCCTCGCGGCCGCGCGAGGATGGTGCACTCCCCGCGTGGCCGCGGATACCGAATCCCGCTTTCCACGCGTGCCCGCTTGAGGATGGTGCACATCCCGCACGGCAGCTGACGCCCGAAGGCTCCGTCCATGCGCGCCCGCCCGGGGGTGCCGCACTTCCCGCAGGGCGGCTGATGCATGAGCCCCCCGCCCTCCACGCGTGCCCGCTCGAGGACGGTGCACTTCCCGCATGGCAGCTCCTGCCTGGGCCCTCATTCCATGCGCCCCCGCTCGAGGATAGCGCACTTCCCGCATGGCTGCTACCGCCTAGACCCTCATCCCACGTGCACCCGCTCGAGGATTGTGCACGTCCCGCATTCCCAGGCGCTGCTCCCAAGCGCTCCAGGGCCTCCTAGGCCACGATCCCCCATTGAAAAACTATGGATATGCGTCCCGAGGTTCCAGGACGGCCCGTGTAGACAAACAAGGACGCCTAGATGGCGCCTCGAAAATGGCTTAGGATGGCTCCAATGCGGCCGAATAGTGTTTCACGGCGGCCCAAGATGCCTCCAAGAGGGCCGAAAAAGGGCCACGAGAGGACCTTCAACAGGGTCCCAAGAAGCCAAAATCATTGAAGCCAAAATCACTGATTCCCCCAGAAAGGTGTTTGAATGAGTTGTGCGTTCTCGCCGTTTCGGGCTGCCGTCAGCTCAAGCGGGACCGTGGCCCAAGAGGCATCCAAAACGGCCCCACGACAGCTCGAGAGGACCTCCCGTGGGACCCAAGACAGCTCGGCTTGAGAAGGACCTTGGACGGCCAAAGACTGCGCCACGATGGCCCCCAGACACCCACCATGAGGCCACGATGGGCCCAAGACGGCCCAAGAGAACCTCAAGCAGGCGTAAGGGCCCCCCAATGAAACCCCAAGACTGCCTCACAGGAGAACAGACAGCCCAAAGACGGCCCAAACGAGTTTCAGCATCATTATGATCATCCTCTTCCTCCTCCCCCTCCTCCTCCTTCTCCTCCTCCTCCTCCGCCTCCGCCTCCGCCTCCTCCTCCTCCTCCATCAGCATCGTCAGCAGCAGCATCATCATCATCATCATCATCATCATCATCATCATCATCATCATCATCATCATCATCACCAGCATCATCATCATCATCATCATCATCATCACCATCATCGTCATCATCATCATCATCATCATCATCATCATCATCATCATCATCATCATCATCATCATCATCATCCACATCATCATCATCATCATCAGCAGCAGCATCATCATCATCAGCATCATCGTCGTCATCATCTTCACCATCATCATCATCATCATCATCATCAGCATCATCATCATCAGCATCATCATCAGCATCATCAGCATCATCAGCATCATCAGCATCAGCATCATCATCATCGTCATCATCATCGTCATCAGCAGCCGTATCATCAGCATCATCAGCATCAACATCAGCAGCATCAGCATCAGCAGCACCATCATCATAATCAGCATCATCATCCGCATCAGCATCATCAGCATCCTGATCATCATCCTAAGCCGCATCCTCATCATCATCAGCATCCTCATCATCCTCCTCCCCATCATCACCATCAGCATCAGCATCATCATCATCATCATCATCATCACCGCTATCACCATCATCATAATCATCATCATCGACATACTCATCATCAACATCAACATCATCATCAGCATCATCATCAGCATCATCATAAACGTCAGCATCATCATCGTAATCAACATCATCAGCATCATCAGCATCTGCATCAGCAGCATCAGCATCTGCATCTGCATCATCGTCTCCACCACCACCCCCACCACCACCGTCATCATCATCATCATCATCATCATCATCAGCAGCAGCAGCATCAGCATCATCATCGTCATCATCAGCATCAGCATCATAAGCAGCATCATCACCAGCATCATCATCGTCATCATCAGCAACAGCGGCATCAGCATCAGCATCAGCAGCAACATTATCATAATCGTAGTCACAATCAGATTCAGAATCAGCAGCATCATCAGCACCGTCATCATCAGCATCATCAGCATCGTCAGCATCGCAATCATCATTATGATCACCATCATTACCATCATCAACCACAGCATCAGCATAAGCAGCATCAGCATCATACTCATAAACATAATCGACAACATGATCATCATCATCATCATCATCATCATCATCATCATCATCATCATCGTCATCGTCATCGTCGTCATCAGCATCATCAGCATCATCATGATACCAATCATCATCATAGTCAGCAGAAGCAGCATCATCAGCATCATCATAATCATCGTCATCATCAGCAGCATCAGCATCATCACCACCACCATTCATCACTATCAGCACCACCATCACCATCACCATCACCATCACAGTCAGCATAATCACCGTGATCATCGGCATCAGCATCACCATCAGCATCACCATCAGCATCCTCATCATCACCACCGCCATCATCATAATCATCACCATCACATCGATCATCATCACAATCAGTGTCACCTTACCACCAGCACCGTTATCACCACCATCACCATCATCACCACCAGCACCCATCATCAGAACATCAATAATCATCATGACTGTCGTCATCCCCATCATCCTCATAATCCTCATCATCCTTATCACGGATCTTAAAAGCCTGGAGGCACGAGGTGCCACGCGTGATGGCCTCCAGTGCCCCCTCGGACAGTCGCCACCCAGAATGTTAGGCTGGCGCGGTGGCGGGACTTGCTGCAGGCAGCTGGAAAATGTTTCTGAACCCCGATTGTAGGGAAACCAAGAGGTACCGACACCGCTGCTCCCCGGACCTCTCCCGAGGTGCGTTCTGACCAAGACTTCGAGGCGAATCCAGCAGGGGCGACGAGGG